TTCACTTTCAGGTTAGTTCTTCCGCCGATTTCTCGCAACCAACAACGTGATTTTTTATTTGGGATTTCGAGAAACATAACATGAATCATTACGGCATTCATAACACAACACCTCGCCATGTTTCAACTTTTAAGTAGTCAGTTAACAAGGTCTTTCATAGTAGCATTTCTATGGGATTGACGTACTAGCATGAATGGGTTCAATTATCAGTGTTCACTGATGACGTCATTTGACTGGCCCTCTAGAGGCGAAATGACACCAGGAAAAGCGGAAGTTTGTCGTCTGCTTCACAGCCCGTTTTATACCCGATATTTAGGGCATTTCACAGCACATACAAGTTATTTTTATCGACAGAATTCATTCATAGATTTCAGAGTGTCGAAAGCTACACCTCTGCTCCCCTTTAAACTTATACAATTATCTATACTTACCCAGGTAGTATGCAGAGGCTGTGAAACCCATCTATGCTGATCATAAAGCTTGAACAGCATTGATTACCAGGTATATGATGAATAGAAAGGTCTATCAGACTACATGCTAACAATAAACAGAGGGCAAAATCACAGTAGTGAAATGTACTTTGGTTTCATTTATTTCTTGCATTCTCACCCAAAACAGCAGTTACAGTACAAAAAACTACAATAGTGTCTTATGAATTTGAAAATGCCTTCTAATTGAACACAATAAATAGCATGTGGTTTGGTATTACTTGGCATTAAGTGTGTCTGCATAACCTGAACTAAAAAAAATCAGAAACATACAGTCCTTGAGTAATTTTTTTAATTTTCAGATCTCCAGCGTTTAGTCAAACAATGTGGCATTGGTATTCCACTAAACTGTATGTACAAGGTCAATTTCGAAATACATATTCAACGTCCCAATTGCATCATCGTCTAATCCATTCTTGCTTTGAGCGTTCTTGTTGTTATTTTGTCTTTTTCTCTGAAAGGCAATTACATAAAATAAACATTTGCAGCTTTTCAAAATATTAGGCAACCCAAAATCCAATCATCATTCCGTTGACGATTGAAAAATCGTGTGCATAAATGTACAAGGAAACGTTAGGAAATACAGGCTGCACACATGTTTTTGTTCTGACAATTTCCAACCGTTTTGCATGGAATTACCACAATTATAGGCCCCATGATCTGACATTAACTGTACGTAACACAAGGATTATTACAGCTCTGATTTAAAAAGCCAACAATATGGAGAAACTATACAACTTATGGCCTTTTAACTGGATGATCCAAAGCAAATTAGCATTAATGGGCAGGAAGATATATTTTCACAACATAAAAACAGTTCTAAATTGAAACCTGAAATGTATGGATGAAAACTTATTTTCTGATTTCAAACAAGTTTTTGCACCTACAAAAACAATATAAAGGCACTAACTATAATAAGGACACTAACTATAATGGACATATCATCTAAACTTTTACATTGCTTCTTTGTTATCATTTATGTGCAAATGAATTTCTCAATATACCATACCATACAAGCAGTAGTAGTACTTACATAATATGAACAACAGCTCCCCATCCAGCCAATGCATCTCTGTCTACGGCATTTAACAAAGCTTGTGACACTGTTTCAAATAATTCTTCAGAATTCTACAAAAGCCATGACACATGTAGTTTAGATATATATTATATTAATTCTCAGAATCCCAAAAGGTACCTCATGTCAATGTCCTTATTAGCTTCCCTTGGAGGAATACAATTTTCTAAAAAAAAACATTATCAACTGTATTTCTGCTAGTTTTGAATCCTATTTTTTGCATGGGTGAGAAGGTTAGATCAATAAAAATATACTATGCAAATATTGTCGATGCCAGGTGACAGTTTTGTACATTGAATGTCATATTATTTTTTTTTATGTTAGAATTGCAAGTGCAAGTGCACTATGCCACAGAAACCATATTTCTATTTAATGCGCTATTAACCAGACCCTTATTAAACCTAGGTTTCTTGAGTCTGATGCAATAATGACTATTCTATCAGTGACCGGCAGAGTATACATTTGCTGAAGACATTTTCGTTTGTTACATGTACTAAAAATTCAGAGATTTGTGATAGGGTTGTAACCTATGAAAGAAAATATCAATTCACTGAATTTGCAACCACAATTTTGTAAAATGTCAACGCAGTACACACTTGCATGAGTATATCTACATGCAATTAAAATACTGTGGAATACTTTATTTTCGCTGGAATTAATTTTCGCTGAAAAGGCTTTTTGGGGGTTTTGTATGGAATTTATTTTCACTGATTTTTGATGAGTTTAATGTGAAATATAGGAAAAAAATTCCAAGCGAAAATAAAGTATTTTACAGTACCTTAGTTTCATCCCACATGTATAAAAACTAGATACTCCGTATTAGCTATATACTTGTAACAAGACTTACCATATCAGGGAGCCATAGTGATTCACACATACCATACAATTGTTCAGAACTAGTACCTGCTACAACAAAATCTTCTGGAACCATTGGACAACCAATTAAATCTAGTGAACATATGAATGGTTCATAGGTATCTGGTTCTAACCCAGCTATGATGGGTTCTACAAAATACGGACCAAACCTGTAATGAAAGATGGGTATATTAAAACATATTTCTTGCATAATAATCGTTATAACAAGTGTTCCTCATGACAGAAAAAAACATCACAAAACTCAGCCACTATATGTGTATAACTTCAATACTTAGTTTGAAGGACTCTGAAATCAGCCGAGGCATAGTTTTCACACCAAAACAGATCTTTTATATACTGTATTAGCCCCATCAGTATACTGAATCATTAAAATATTACATATTTTAGAAATGCTACACAAATGACTAATTTACATAAGCTTCTAATATAGCCAATACGGTATTGTCTTTATACAAACAAAAACAAAAGGGTCAACTGTGTTCTTCTACAAAGTGTGATTAAATCTAACCAAGTCATCTCACAGAAATTTACTATGTTCACGTTACGGATCTTTGCATGTGCCAAAATTTTCAATCCATCATGTTTGGAGAGGGATTACAGCAGTTGTGTTCATGTTAGTTAGGCCCACATCGATACCCACTCGACTTGTGCCGAAATTGCGCCCTCATTCATTAATCTGTTAGTTGACCAAAACATAGTAGACGATACGCACATGATTACTTTATTGAAATCATATCTATTTGCTGTTATATTATTACAAGTCATTGTGCAAATTAATGGCAAAGAAGTATTCAAAGAACAGTTTTTTTTTCAAGTCCATGCAGCATCGCAAAACAAAACTAGTTGCAGCAGCACATAACAATGCTCCGCCACTGACAATGTTCTCTATTAATTTCATTCATTACTACAGCATCTGACCATATCTTCCTGAACTTGCCTTTAATCGCAATGTCATACTAGTATGTTCATCACTGAGGGCGTGATTTGGGTTTGTGCCCAGCGTTCAGTCAGCAAATTTCAGCACATTTGAATTCAGAGTTTCGCTCTGACTCTCTATCTCTGTTTTTCAGCATGTGCAGACTTGCTTCCGGCCATTCACACAGATGTTCGGCACGTGTCAACTCGGCCCTGACTCTCAGCACAGGCAGAGATTATGTAACATGAACACCACACTATTGTTGCTGGTCAGCATGGTTGGCCATCTTTGATCAGATAACCAAAATAAATTTGCTCAAAAAACAATACACTGGCTCATGAAAAACAAAACAAAAACTTGAACTGGTAGTTCACAGATATCTGAACAGAAAGACCAATAAACCATGGGTTATCATGAAGTACTTCCAAAGCATTTGCCTGGCTATCATTCTAGATTTCATCCCTTAGATGAACATTGCACACACCAATGTGCTCATCTGAAACTCTAGAAAGTCACATAAACAATGAACTTACCTTCTTTCATAAAGCAGATTAGATACCATACTCATGAATGTTTTGGGTTTAATTTTTCTATTTTCCCTTAGTGTGTATAAATTTAATCTAAACTTCAATCTATTTGACCTGTGGGAAAAAACAGAAAAAAAAAATGCTATTTTTAACATCTTTTGTCACATATGAATTTGTAATTTCACAGATGCTGTATAATATTTTGTCTACTGAAAAAAAAATCAAATCCAGTAGCTGAAAAAATAAGTCAATGCAGTGGGAGGGGGGTGTGTCATCAAACCTAATAATTCACTTGCATGAAAAAAGATTTATTTCTAGTCACATGTTAGTACATAGCCACTGTACAATATGCCCTTTGCAATGTGTCCATTGCGTGGGCAGTAACACCAAATATTGACATTTTTTTTTGGAAATATTAGATTGGGTAATTTGCATTTTCCACATAGTAAATGTTACTGCAGGTATTCTTTTGAAATGAATATGATTTTTGACTCACACTGTCTGTACATCTGTTGCAAGTCCTGGTAGACCCAAATAAAGTCTTGGTCCCATTTCAAATATCTTTTGAAAATCCATAGATACTGTCTGTGCTTGGATACCAAATCTTCGATCTGCTGCTATGGCAACACAGTCTTTTCCTTTCATGGCCACAACAGCCGAACCATTATATGACATAATAGACTGATCAATAAAATTAAAAATATAGTGACGACATTACTCAATTCAAACTCGATATTGAGTACTCAGTGCAACAAAAGCATTTACTTTCAGCTTTTAGAAGATTTATAAATTTCATGATTCAAATTGAAATGAAAGATGTCTATTTGCTGATTGAAAAACATTGGAATGTTTTCAAATAATATCCTTGCATACTGTGCTTGTTGATTAACTAGTTGGATTCAACTGTAATTTTGAAATTTATAAATATTTCTAAAGATGAAAAAAATGTCTTTGTTGTGCTGATTATACAGTAATTTATAAAATTACAATGAATAGTAATTATATTATGCCAGTATAGATATATCATCTTGTTGAAACTGTTGCGATTGGTCAACATAACCATGGGAACAATACTCAACTGTGCATAGCAGTATATTATTGATATACCTTGGCATTCTCATAACAAATTAATACAAAACCAGTACCATTTGAGAAACAAGAGAAATAAAGTTTTATTTCAAGGAAACAGAATAAAACTGTAGATATTATAGTACAATGTAGTTGGATAATACTAGAAAAAATTAAAAGTCCCATTTCAGAATAACAGTCATATGTCAACAAGTTCAAGTTTGATTTTGTTTATATGATTTGGGGAGTTTTTTTTGCTGTTCCTAATTAGTACATCAAAATGATAATGGTTTATATATACAATAGCTGATACCTGATACTGCTGGTGGGCAAAGTATACATATTGTAGTCTTGGCAGTAACAACAACTGAAAGAACCATCATATACTCTACCATCTACAGCTGGGCACAGCAGCTGAGTATATATTGCCATGGATTTCTAAGATAAGGCGAAGTTTAGGTGTACTGTGTGTGTACGTGAAATGCGAGAAGATCCTGAGTGATGCAGGGATACATTTGTACATGTACATTTGTAAGTATATGCATCATCATCTCAATACTTAATTCGAGTTGCTAACACTTTTGCACCCGATCCCAATGCCCAGTTTTGCAGAGCTAGAGTAAGACTATAAATGAATGCCTACTTCTAATATGACCAAGTAACCATAAGCACCGATTTACTTCAAAACATTATCTATTTTTATGTCGTAGACATCATGGAGTCATGCACTTTAGTGAACCGATGATGACAAGTTTACATCGTATAGACACTTGTCAAAGCTAATAGCAAGAGAAGAAGCACATATTGTTACAGTCTTGGTGCAATAATTAGTATTTTGCTAAGGGATATGTGCTTATGCACCGATTGTAACATATAGTTATTACAGTGACACAGCTATTTTGGTCGCCATTTATAAACAACAATCCTGTACTGACAACTGTACGAATATGATCAAAACAAAGAACTTTCACTTACCATATTGGAAAAATAATGTTCACATCTGCTGATATACTATATATATATATGGTTTAGTTTCCTAAATCATGAAATAGTGCCCTGTGTAGGGCAGATTATTTGGATAATCCGAATGAATCAAGCAGAAGCCAAACGCCGTATTTTCAAAATGGCGGAGTTGTTGTGTATTACGCCCTCATTCTAACAAACCAAAACACATTTTGTTTTTAATTGGAGCCGGATAGGTGAACTCGTATTACTGTAAACAATCCACAGACACCCCCATGGGACTTGGAGTTATGGCAAGTGGATATCCTCTAATCTGGTCTCCTTTGAAACCAGTACGAGATTTTTAAGCATTTCTATATGAACAAATTCGCGTTACTAATAACCAATTTTACCACCTATACAAACCATTGACGGTGAAGTGCATACATTTTTACCTCACCAAATTTAAAGTAAAGTAGATATATATAGGTAACTGGAAATACAAGTATATTTTCCAGAGTAATACTGAGGTTAAATACACAAGAAATATTACGTACACCAGTGTACAACTGATTTATATTATTATACTTATAATTCAGTTCAGCTAGTTTTATGAAATTTAATTTATTAATAATTTGAATTGAGATAAAAGAAAGCAATATTCAAATATGTTTTGTGACTATTTATTTTGATAGTGTTTAGATGCTATTCACTTGTTCCGAGAATGCCTTACTTGACTCAAAGATGGACCATTTAGATGTCTAAAAAGATAGCGAACGTTGAAATCGATAGGTAAAAACGTGTTTAGGTAATTTTCTTATACATAAAATGCAGCTGGGCGTGATTTTAAAATAATTTGTATACACTTTACCAGAGTTTCGTTTGCATAGCAACGGACCAGCAGGATTACGTGACACTACTTCCCCTTTCGTTGCCAAGGGTCACTACTGCCACGTCACTTGGGGAGAGCAACACGAATGCACTCCAGAAGAACAGACGTCTTAATTGTACAATTAACGTGACACAAAGACATTGACATTTGCATATCATACTTTATTTTCTCAAAATGAACGTTTCAAAAATTGTGACACCTGTTCAAGAACACAGACCTATGTTTCAGATCAGTACATTTCATTATTAAAACAAGTTATAATATTATAGATGAAATCTACAGAAAGTACTTTCATATATACGATTACAATTTAACAGTATAGACAAGAACAAGACGAGGGGGTGAACATGAATCATAGTTACAGAATATCATAAATCACTTTAAATTTAAGAAAAAAATCAGCGAGCTTCTGAAAATCATGAATTTTGTAGCAGTCAACAATTATAGTCCCAATCGCATATTATTGTGGAGATCTTTGTTAACCTTTCTCACTACCAGTTCCCTCTTTTCATCACAAAATAGTCCTGTTTATAGTCTGCACTTTCCTTTAAAAGATTTTGACAAAAATAGCCAATTTTTTTGTTGAGAAAAAACTCAAAATTTACTCCGATTTTGTCTGTTTGCAGAAATATACTGGGGGAAAAAAGTGCTGAAAAGTTTTAGCGAAAAAGACTGGTGGTGGAAAGGTTAAGCAAGGAAGCCATCTGATACGATTTTACTCCTAAAATAGTGATTCATTCTTGCCTCATCATCTCAGTCCGGCTGACCTATGTAACCATGGACGCGATGAGGCAAGAATAGAACACTATAATTAGAAATAATGATGACTCGACTCTGGGCACTCCCCTGCTTTGATGAAATCACAAGGCATTTTATTTTGCCAATAAGGACTTTTCACTTGGGTTCTTAAATAAAATGATTACGACTTTATAACAAATTCATGAAATAATATCGTGAAAATTTATACTGATGAAAATTTAACAGTTTAAAGTAGTTCATTATAATCACACACAAAAAATACGAATAAAATGACCTTTTGTTTACTGCAATGTGAAGGATATTTCAGTTGTACCTGAAGTTATGTTGAAAAGGACCCATCGTCATGGCAACCAGAATTAATTCAGATCACTATTGTTTCTCAATTAGAACAAATACCTTATAAAATACTGTAAACCACTTTTTTTTTGTATGAAAGATGAACATTCCTGAATTCCCAGAGTGGGAGGGAAAACATATTTTGTAGAAGTAAATGTTTCAGTGGGTATTATTTGGGATCTTGTAGACAGTGAATTTAGTCCTCTTGAATGTCCTTAAAATATAAAGTCAGGAAAATAAAAAGGTTTACAGCAGCCAAATATTTGATACTATGATGTATGGAATGTGTATCACATCGTAACAAAGTAAATTGTCAAAATATCACTTCACTGTTGGCGGCCTGCGGAGACATTATCAAAACTGGGAACATTTCTTACTCTGTAAAATTTTTCAATATGCTACACATATGCACAGATACCATCAATACTAAAAAAAAAAAAATTTGCAGAAGATAAATACAGCATCATACTGTATTCAACCATTCTTTAATAAACTGTTGAACCAGCAAACTCTAGTTTTCAACATGTTCAATTTCTTTTAATGTGTGCATAATTTGTTCCCCTCGCTGTTTGTCATTTTCACTTACAAAGACATCATTACTTGTATGTTACGTGTTCATACAATAAAGTCCAAAATATAAATATACTAATCATCACAATTACATATTTAATATTACAAATTATATCTACGATTGAAATTTGACTCAAATATCAATGTGAATGTACTTATGTATGTACATGCTTCATAAGTGCATGCATATCTACGTGCGAATACATTTATTCATGTGCAAATCCCATTTACCATATTTTTTCTATTAATAGCATATACATTTACATAAACGTCAGGCATGTCAATTACAATGACTTGTATTTGAAAAGGAAGATGGTCATGCCACGTATGCACAATATGGGTCCCATACAGCCCAAGACGGCGACTGTTGCACTGATAAATGATGTAGCTACAATGTTATCAAGTTTTAATTCCTGTGATGAATATACCAAAATGTCAATATCACTATACACATCGTCACTGGGAAAGTGCATTGGATTGTGGGAAAAATCACCGTTTATCAACTTATGAGAACATTGCACAAGCGTGGCACGTACCAACTGCCTTTAATAATCAAGTATGCAATATATGCATTTCTTAGTTAATGTATGCTTCTCAAGATGTACTGTAAAATCTGTATTAGAAGCTGCGGCTTCTATTAAAATGGTACAATTCAAGAGAGGCGATGCGACTTACATTAGAGATGCGGCTTCTAATACAGATTTTACAGTACAGCCAATACAGTATTTAGGTGTGATTTGTTATGTACCATGTGTAATAAACATTTTGCGCATGTGTTGTTTAGGTCTAATATCACAATTGAATGCAACTTGTGTACATTGATGCATTAATACTTAGTTTTAACCATAAGCACACACATAATTCCAATACAGGACTAATCCTTTAAAGAAGATTTCCGTTTCATTTCACCAAGAAATTATTTTAACTCTTAAACTATACTACCATATATTTATTTAGATCACTAAAAACTCTCATAAGTTATAAGATAGTGCCATGATTATTAATAGGATTATGTGGATATGTGAATAACATGTGGTAAAGTTTATGGAAATACAGAGATGATGTCACAACAATTTAAGTCTAACTTTTCTTTCTTGGATGTGCGTGTGTAAGAAGAAGAAAAAACATGCCATATTTTCATGTAGCAATTACAAGAAAACTTGGATAAAATTACGCATGAAAAAAAAAAATACTGGTAAATAACATTTAAAAAAATTCACACTTCAGAAATGGGACTGTACTTAAAACTGTATTAAATAAACAAAAGAACTTGACCCGAAAACATAGACAACGATTTACATAACTGGTTTAGTATGTACTCCAGCAAGTTTCAAGAGTTACTGGCAATACATCTGCCAAGGATCTTGTTTAGCGAGGTTATTATATGTATTCACAAAATCTGTAATAGAAACTACTTCTAAGACAATTCATAATCAGTGTGCCACAGAATGTAAAACTTATGGAACTGATAGAAACTTGTCGCCCTTAGTCTATCTACTGCCTTGTTGTCGTACTAGATGCAGCCCTTCCCTACAATCAATTTCAACAACATTTTAATAAGCACTATATTTATCTGTATTATAATATTTTTATTTTGTCCTAAAATTTAGCACATAATTTCTACTGCTAAAAAATGGCAAGAAAATACAAATGCTGCATATAGAACCACAGTAAAACATTAGACAGCTTGACTGGGAATCAGGCCATAAAAAAAGATGAAAGGACGACAAATAATCTCACTCCTGCCATAACAGTGTAAAATCACATTGCACTGGAAAACACATAGTAGCTTAAATAACATTTTAGCTAGTTTTACAGTTACTTCTACTATCTGGGAAATCTTTTAAGTCAAGTTTACTACCAATACATATGCAACAATTACAAACAATACTTTAATATTAAAAAATACAAAAATACAATTCTTTGAAACTTGAAAAAAAGGACAACTCAATCAGAGAAATTAAGACAGACTGACAGACTGAATTAGGTGTATACAATGATTGTCTATTTCAATTGTTGACTTCTCGACTTCTTGTGATCATTCAATAACTTTACCAATAAATTCCATGAATCTTCTCGAGTACTGTTCTGGTTTAACTGTGGAAATCTCTGCTCCTGCCTGTAAAATATAATATGGACTTGTCAATGAGATTCACTATGTATCCCATGAACTGTATCCTGGAAATAAAGAATGATTATGTGCGTAAGCGTGCTCTAATAATAAAAACAAACATGGCTGCCACCAGGGTTTGTCCTGACTCCACACAGAAGAAGTTTGCTGATTCTGTTTTAAACTTTTTGGATTTCAGCATTCCCAAGACGTATCCTTTGAAGGAAAAGGTGTATAATAATTTGAGGTTATTCCTTGTAATAACCTCAAATTATTATACATCCAGCACCGAAAAACAACAGATTTTGGTGATTCGTTAAATGCCATAATAGCACTCATTCTAAGATTTATCAGAACTTATTCTGATGCTCAAATTTGTCCTTACAAAGGGTGAACTACATCACCAATATAGATGCATTTCAGGTAATTTGACGTCACATACAAACACTTTCCTTTGTTTACATTGGTTACAGAAGTGCTAAGTGTGAGATAGAACTTTTACACAAACAAATACAAAGTCAGTGTTGCTGCACTAAGTACATGAATATTCGTCATCTTTTGCACACAAGTTGTTTTTCAATGACCAGAGCCAGAGGATGATGTTGCCAGTTTACCAATGTATAACTGTCAACCAACTATGTCTAGTTACTTTGTATGCAAATTAGCTAATTGATAAGCACAATTTAACTCTCATCATTTATGCACAAACTTGACCAGTGTTTTACAACATAATTACTACGTCCTTTGTGTTTGCAGAGGGATTACAGCAGTTGCATTCACGCTATTTGGGACCCACTTAGGACTGACTCGGCTAGTGCCAAAATCACGTCCTAATTCGTCGATCTGTTATTTGGCCCAAACATGGAAAACGATACCATACCATGATAATAATAATTACTATATTGAAATTATATTCCTTTGTTGTTATGGTATTTATTACGAGTCATTGTGCACATGAACGGCAAAAAAGATTTGAAATACAATTATTTGTTCACGTCAATGTAGCATTGCAAGAAAATAGCAGTTGCAGCAGCACATAAATATGCGTCGCTGACGACGGTTTGTATTCATTACTACAGTCTCCGACCATATACTAGTATATCTGCATTTCCTGTCATCGTACTAGTATGAATCAGCGTATGTTCTCTTAAATTTATCACTGAGGGTGTGATTTTGGCTCGGTCTCAAGCATCTTTCGGGGCCGAGATCAAGTGTTTTTTTTTGTTCATGCCGACTTGGTCCCGACTGTTCACACACAAGTTTCAGCACGTGTCGACTAGGTCCCGAGTCTCGGCATGTGCCAAGATCTCTAATGTGAATGTCACTAATTTTAATCACCATCAACAGCTTGTGTTCTATACAACTTGTTCAGGGTTACTGTGGGTTAATATAAACCCCAAATTACAAACTTTATAAAATCCAAGTTATTTAAAATATCACATGGAAAAGGCTTCAAGACATGATTACTCAAACGATAGATACTACAAAGTACCACAATTAAAAAATAATGTATCCTGTAAAATTCGTTCTTCACAAATGCTATCAAACTGTGATTTACAGTATTTATTGTCTTACCCCATGTTTGACTGTTTTAGCAGCTTGTGCAGCCCTCTTCTTCGCACCCCAATGCGTCAAAATATCAATTAGAGCCATAAAGTAAATTTCTTTTCTTGGAGCTTCTGTAATCAGAAAACATGTTATTTTAATATGAATTCAAAATATCTGAAATAGATCTAAATCATGTACATTCAATGGGATGCTAACATGTCTGTTTTGATACTAACTATAAGCAGAAAAATGTTAGCTTATAAAGTCTGGATCAATCTATTCATCTTTTATAATATAAAAGATCAAAGTCACTGTAAAATACTTTATTTTAGGTGGAATTAATTTGTGCTGTTATCTATGAGGTTTATTTTCACTGATATTTGATGAGTTGAACGTAAAATATAGAAAAAGGTCTTTTCACTAGCTTGAAGGAAAGAATCAGTGAAAATAAATAAAATAAATTCTCTTGGAAAATAAAGTAATTTACAGTAGTTCAAGTTTGCACTTGTTTTTCTAGGTTTTGAAACATCACAGGCACTGGAAGCATTTGCAAAAATATCATAAACTGGCATTGAGTACTTTTATTTTCACCAGTGACCACAGGGGCTTTGACCCTGATTCTATGTGGAGACACCTTCTTGCAAGTGGGGGAATACTAATTATATCCTGGGCATCGGTGAATAATTTCTACCGGAATATACTATGCAAAAGCACATCAAATACTACGGTAAAGTATTTACACATTGTATATTTGGATGATTTTCACAACATGCTTGACACATTAGGAGCACACAAATTTTACTCCGTATATTACTCCATAAGGCCAAAAAAAAATTGTTTTGTTGCCCTCAGCGACCGACTGAAAATATTTTTTTTAATAGGCCGAAAAATTAAAAGCTCACCATTTTAAGCAGTAAAAAAGTGTTTCCTCTAAAAATTAACGATCCTGGACAGTTGTTTGATCCCCAGAGTCCTCGTAAGTGGCGACTTTGAACCTTGGGTTGATTTGTATTTCTCTGACTTTTCTGAATACTATGAAGTCCATATACCATGGCTATTTACAATACCCTTAGTTTTTACAGGTTAAAAAAAAAAAAAAAAAAAAATCCGACCAACCGCCCGACCCAATTTTTCGACTTGAGGGCAACATAATTTTTTTTTGGGCCTAATAGTTGAGTTATTGAGACTACAAAAACAAATTCATCATGGAGACAATTTTTTCCCCTCATATACATATTCCTCAGAGTTATTTATATTCAATAGTTATACACATACATACCAGGTGAGCTTTTTATAGCAAATATATCAGTTTCAGAATCAAACTGCCCAGGTAAGACAGGCAGTTGTTGCTGAAATGTACTCATAGTAGCCGATGCAGGTTGTGGACTATCTGGTGGTGTAAATGCTGTATTACTACCACTATCATCATCTTGATCTCCGCTATCACCAACTCCATTACTTTCCACTTCCATCTCTTCTTGGTACTCCTGTTCTGCTTTTTCTATGTCATGTATTCCAACCAATAAACTATAATCCATCAGCTTCAACTCTGATAAAAACTACAAATATATATATTACTGGTGAGTACATGCACAGAAAAGGTATTTCTGGAAATGAACCCAAATTTTGGAGCCAACAGACAAATTTGAGCCAATTTTTTGATCCAATGATTATTCTGGTTTCAATCTTCGGAAGGAAAGTGCAGAGTATAAACGGGACTATTTTGTGAATTTGTGAAGAAAAGAGGGAATCGGTGGTGAAAACACTAACTTAAACAAAAAACAAATTCTGTGAGTCAATGTAAATTGCTAAATTTTGTAGCCTTAACAAGTTTCCTAGAATCCTACAACACAGAGTGTTATTTAGCAGTGAAAAGCTGTTTACAATAAGTCATCTACAACTTCATTTACATACTCAACATATCAAGTAATGTAGAAATGCCATGAATTATCACAGGTTGCTCTCTGCTGAGATTATGTATGCGCAAGGGTTCGATAAGCATGATGAAGCAGATTACTTAATGAGTTAAGACGTCACAACATCGTTTGAATGCATTTTTTATGCAATTTCAAATCACATTATGACTGGTTTTGATACGCAATTTGTGTACTATCTCGCGCTCATTTGAAGAACGTCAATTGAGACTTAATGGCAATTGAGTAGAGGAAAAATTTGGTACTTAAAAAAAATCTTTCAAGAAACAAACTGCTCTCTGATTGGTCTGACTGTTAATCATTAGGGTTGGGTAGCCAATCATATAACTAGCTTTGCATTGACTCTGAAATGGTAGTCAGTATTCTCAACAAGCAGCCTCTCAGGTAAGAAAGCCCTGCTGTTAGCAATGCACATTTCAATTAGATAATTGAAGATATCATCACGAAATGAACAAATCTACAAGATGTCTACCTGAGGTGCCTATATGTATAATATCAAAGCAGACTTGCGGTTTTTAACAAGAAGTGGAAAATAACACTTTTTACCAAAAATCACAAAAATATTCATCAAAATTAAAAAATTACAGACATCATCACAAAAATAACAAATCTGTACGAGAAGTCAAAAATATTCATCAAAATTAGAGAATTAAAGATATTATCACATATACACCAAGTATCAAAGCAATAAGAATTGTAGTTTTCAAGAAGAAGTTGAGAAAGTAAAAAGTTGACACAGACGACGAACAATAACTCGTATGATAAGCTCCGCTCGACAAAGTCGACAGTAGAGCAAAAAACTGATTTTTTTGTATTCATAACATGTCCTTCAAATATGAGCAGTGATACAACAATAACTGGTAAATATTTCCCAGTCAATATTGTCTGTATATTAAACTAAGAATTTATATTAGTTATGAGAATGTACGAATGACACCGGTGAATTTCTCAAACAGTCACGCTTCTTTTACCATATATCATGTAGTTGT